TTTCACCAGCCTCTTCGGGCCGGTTTCTGTTCCAGGATCCGATCCAGGACCACAGGGTCACCACAGCAGCCGACCCCGCTGCCTGCGACAGGACTCAGGTTTGTTCGTTTCTCAGGACCTTCCTTCATGCTCAGGCCTTCCTCACATCTGCAGCACACTGAGCGTATTTGCAAAAGCTGGTCTAACATTGCTGGTGGCGAATCCCTTCCTTTGGGGGCCTGTTGAACGATCAGCTCCTTTCGGCGGGTCACAGTGGATCAGAACGGGTGCCTCCAGCCGAGCGCTGGGTTGCGCTGTCCATTAAGTGTCACACTCTGTCCTGGCTGGTGTGGCCCAGTGTTCAGAGCGTCAGCCTGTGCTCTGAGGGGTCTCGGGTTCAATCCGGTCAAGGGCATGTACCCGGGTAGCAGGTTCCTCTCTCCCTCCCTCCTTCCCGTCCTCGCTCTAAAAGGCGATGGGAAAATACCCTTGGGTGTGGATTTTAAAGAGATTTCGTTAGTTACTGGGAGGTCTGCCTTTGGAAGCTTGCCCTTTACTCCCATTTGCTCCCCATTCCCCCCCACTCCCCCCCCAAGCCTCGCCCCACCCTCAGGTCCCTCAGGCACTTTCAGGATGAGTGACGAGCCCTCTGGGGGCAGCTGCCCGCAGCCTTTGGCTGGACAGAGGGAAATGACGCGGCCTCCGGGGGCCTGGGGAGGTGGGCAGCCCAGACGCCCAGGCTTCCGTCCTGGGCAGCCTGTGGGCCATACCCGTCGTGGACAGGATGATGCACAGCCAGAGCCAGCGGACCCTGCACACATGCCCACCTTCCTGAGCGCTCCCCTCCACGCCGGGCTGCAGTCCTAGCCAGTGCGGCCTCCTGAGCTGTCTCAATTCAGCCTTTGTGGTTTCCCTCCATGACCAGTGCGGAGTCGTGAGTTAAGAAATCTGCCTAGTCTCGGTCATGGACCTGCTTAGCCGTCTCAGACCCGGCATCAGGGCTTCTCGCTGGGCAGCGGCAGCAGCAGAGGGAGCGGTGTCCGTGTTCGCAGTGCGTCACCTCGGCTGTGCGGTGGGCACGGTAAGGACTTGAGTGCAGACTTGCCTCCTTGCTGGTATTTCATCAGTATAAACCGTGCGAAAGCTTGTAGCTGCATTATACTTTGTGTACTCTGTTGCTTTCTGTCTCGTTTTTAATTGAACATTAAGGGAATGCAGTATTTATTCATTCATTATTGGTTAATCCTCATCCAAGGACATTTTCCCATTGATGTTTAGTGAGAGCAGGAGAGAGAAGGAAAGACGGAGAAACACATTGATTGGTTGCACAAGCTCCAACCAGGGCCAGGCCAGGGAGGAGCCTGCAATCGAGGTACAAGCCCTTTACGGGAATCGAACCCAGGACCCTTTGGTCCGCAGGACCATGCCTTATCCACTGAGCCAAACCGGCTAGGGCGAAGATGCGGTATCTTAATTCTAACTCTGCCAGCAGCTTTAGCTAGAGGCCTGCTGGCTATTTCTGTCCTTTTATGAAATGTTTATCACCAACAAAGACAGGATTACATTTCTTCTTCCAGGCTGAGTTGGCACAGTGGTTGTTTACTGGTTAATAAAGTGGATTTTTTTAAATAATGGAGACAAGATCGTTTGCCTCCAGCACATGGTTGGCCAGGATCTAGCCTGCAACGGAGGGATTTGCCCTTGACGAGATCGGTGATCCTTCAGTCCACAAGCCGACGCTCTATCCACTGAGCCAAAGGCTAAATTTGAAAATTAGATGGAGGGCAGCATTCAATTTGTAGATCAAATTGTGAAGATTTGATGTTCTAAAAATATTGAGTTTCCTAATCTGTGAATATAGCTTTCCATTTATTTAGGTTGTCTTTTTTCTCAACAATATTTTATATCTTTCAACACTGTTCTTTTTTTTTTTTTTTTAATATATTTTATTGATTTTTTACAGAGAGGAAGGGAGAGGGATAGAGTTAGAAACATCGATGAGAATCATCGACCAGCTGCCTCTTGCACACCCCCTACTGGGGATGTGCCTGCAACCAAGGTGCATGTCCTTGACCGGAATCGAACCAGGGACCCTTCAGTCCCCAAGCCGACTCTCTATCCATTGAGCCAAACCGGTTTCGGCACCTTTCACCACAGTTCTTATTTTTAATGCTATTGCATCCTGCAATCACCATTATTTTCCATTTTGAATTACATAAAAATACTATTGTTTTATACTGACCCTTTATTTTGTGATCCTGATAAACCTTTTAAAAACGATGGTTTTATGCACACGTGACTAGTCTTCAGACAGACAGATCACTCCTTCCTTCCCGTAACCACCGTGCTGCGAGGCCATCGCTGCCGATGCAGAGCGGGGTTCCCGCACCCTGGCTGGCTCTAACCCATCCTTCTGTTTTTCCTTATGAAACTAGTGAAGCTTTCACAGATGCCCTCCATCAGGTGAGAACCTCCCTGCCTAGCGTGCTGCCGAGTTTTTACTGCTGAATTTTGCCAAATGCTTTCTTTTGCAAGATCGTGAGCCTTTTCTCCGCTGTCACTGTCACAAACTGATCTTAACGTTAAAGCACTTTGCATCCCTGGCGTCAAACTCTTTCCGCCACATAGCACCCTTCTGCGTACTGCTGGGTTTGATTGCTAATGTTCTGTGAGTCTTCGGTATTCATGAAGGTACCGGTCTATAGTGTTCTGGCGTACTGCTTTTAAAATCGCTCACAATGTCCCTCTCTCAGAAGTCTCCAGAAGAGGCTGGAATGACTGGTCCAGTCTTCTCCTCCGTGTGACACAGAACTAACTCATCGGTGAAGCCATCTGTGCCTCGTCTTCCCCATGGGAAGGCTTTTAAACTACAGGTTCCATTTGTTTCACAGCCATCGGCTATTTGGGCCATCTGTTTCTTGAGAGAAGTTGGGTAATTTATTTCAAGATATTTGTCCATTTCATTTAATTTATTGGCATAAAGTTGGTCATAATAACCCCTTATCCTTTTTAAAGCAGTTTTAGTTCACATCACAGCAAAACTGAATGTACAGAACACACGCTCAGCCCCGCCCCCACCAGCACCTGCACCGGGAACCTTGCTACCAGTGGTGAACTTTTACTGACACATCGTCACCAAAGCCCAGTCACACATTCTATGCATTGTGACTGACTACAGCACACACAACAGTTCCCCTGCCCCACAGTCCTCTGTGCTGACTGTTCTCTCCTTTACCTCCATGGCTTTGCTTTTCCAGAACGGCATACAGCTGGACTCAGTGAGTAGATTTTCAGGTTGGTTTCTCGCACTGCACATATATTCAGACACTCCGTGTCTTTTTGTGGCTGATCTCTCAGTTATTTGAACACTAAGTAATGCCGTTGTCTGGATGTACACAGTCCCCGTTCACTCTCTGAAGGCCGTCTTGGCTGCTTCCAGTTCTGGGCAGTATGAACAAAGCTGCTGTGAATGAGGTGTCTGAGGGAGCGTCGCTTTTCACTCCTTTGGTCATTACTAAGAAGCCTGATGGTTGGACCAAAGACCAGGGCTTAGTTTGTAAGAAACCACCACACTGTACCCGAGTGGCCGCGCCATGCTGCTCCCGCCCGCAGGGAGGCCTGCGCATCCTTTTAGCATCTGCAGACTCTAGGAAGGCTGCCTTTTCCTTCCCGATGCGGGAGATTTGTGTCCTTTTTCTTTTGACTAGAGGTTTCCACTTTTGATATTCTTAACCCAGTTTTTGGTTTCATTAATTTTCTCTATTTTCATTTGTTTCTGTTCTGATACTCAGTATTTCTTCTAATTCTTTGCTCTAACTTGTTCTTTTTCTATTTTCTTAAGATGAAAGCCTGAAAGCCTAACTCACTGATTTTTAAACGTTTAACCCTTGTCTAACCTAGAGGCTTAGTGCTATGAATTTGCAAGGATGCGGTAGCTGCAACTAGTCTTTGCTACGCTTTCATTTTCAGTCAGTTAAAAATAGCCTTTTGCATATATATTTTCTATTTTATTGGTTTGAGAGAGAGAGAGAGATAAATATCGATCAGCTGCCTCCCGCATGCCCCTCACTGGGAATTGCGCATGTGCCATGACTGGGAATCAAATGTCTGGGAATCAACCACTGAGCCACATCAGCCAGGCAAAAACAGCCTTCTGATTCCTGCTTTGATCCATAGGGCACTGAGGAGGTGTGACTGGTTGACTTCCCAGGCATCTTCATTACTTTTATCTGGTTTCTAATGTGCTTCATGAGCTGAGTCTGACATCCCGGAAATACTGTCCTGGTTCATGTTTCAGGCGTTCCTGTGGATGGATGCTCCCTGTGTCAGGTCGGTTCACAGTGTTTTTCCACCTGTTTTATCGGAACTGAGAGCGGTGTGGAAACCTCACACCTGTAGACGTGTCTCTCGGGAAGGTGGAACAGGCTTGCTGGCTTGTACTTTGAGGTTCTGTTGTTTGGGATTATTTCCTCTTAATGAACTGAGCCCTAACAGCCATCCTTCTCCCTAGCGACACACTTTGCTCTGAAACCGCCTTTGACTAACAAATACAGCTACTCAGATGTCTTGCAATTACTGCTCAACATGTGTGTACTTTCCCATCTTTTTATCCAATCTAACAATCTCTGCCTTCTACTAGGGCATTTATTGATTTTACTTGGTTTAAATCTGCCAGCCTGCTGCTTTTTGTTTTTGATTATGTACCCATCTGGTCTTTGAAGTTGAAGGACTGATAAAAAGTTTGGGATACAGATATATTATTCACCAACATGTTCCTAATATGATGCTTAAACTGCTTTGTGACTAAAGATTTTAAAAACTTTATATTTGGGCATGTAATACATACACAGGATTCCTAAATATCTATCTAAGTGACATATAAATCTTGACCTCCAGATCCAACAACTCTGCCTGAGTGTTTCACAGGCAACTTAGTATTCAGCTGCACATTCCTTCTGTTCCAACTCCTCATTCAAGCCTAGAAACGGGAAGTCCCTACAGTTAGAGCTGCACACTGGTCACAGCTGAATCCACGTTTATTCTTACCATGTATCACAGACACAGCGCAGACCCGAGGCTCCACTACAAAAAGGTAAATAATTAAACGGATTCTTTATTTTAAATGTCTATAGTACCATAATTCATCAAAATAATTTACAGTAGTTAATCGCCTCTTAAATATGATCTTATAAACAACGTGTGGATCCAGTCAGTTTGTTTAAAGTTAACTAGTCTGATTGGAAGTCTTCTAAGAAAGGAAATAACGACACTCTATTCCATTAAAAGGGATTAAAAAGAAGCATAAACTAATTTGAATAGACCTAGCACTTTCCAGGGTATAATCCTCTGTATAAACCTGACTCTTTATATTGAAACTGTATTCAGATTTCCTTGAAACTGTATTCAGATTTCCTTCCATTAAGAAATTCCTTAACAGTGGCCAAGAAATGACCTCAACGTCACATACTTCACCGCTGATGGTCCTGGGGGCTCCGATATAGATGTAGAGTGTTTTCTGCTGTTTCACCTCTGCTGACCTTCCCGGAACAAGCTTCCCCTCAGCCACCGCAGCCACTCAGCCTTCCAGATGCCACTGCTGAGAGGCGGAGCCGTCACAGATCGCCATAGCAACATAGCCTTTGTGACTCAGCGGATCCACCGCTTTCAGGCACTGTCCCACTGACACCTGGTACAGCCGATTATTCTTCTGAAAAATGAAAAAAAGAGGTAACTTACAACACTTACTACCCAAATAACGTAAAGATGATACAGTAATCCAGAGATATGGAGTACTTAACACATTGCGGACAGATCATAAGAATTATCACTTCATATTACACAGTGTTTTACAAAGTATCACTCTTTAAAAGGATATTAGATTGTAAGAACATGTAATAAATAACTTCAAAACGCAATGGGTGTTTAATTTTTATGCGTGCCTTTCACATTTAATAAAACGCTTTTGTACTTGTTCAATACAAACCGATCTGGCCCCTGGGTAAAGCAGCAATAGAACTCCTGGCCCGCAGTGTGGAAAGAGTGAGCACGGAGGCTACAAGCTCAGAGCAGCTTCTACAAGGCAGACTCTGAGCCTCCTCCCTCCTCCTGAGCAAGTGTCTCACCCCGAAGGTCCACTGCTGGGATCCTCCCGACCCATGGCACTTCATGAGTCGGGGTGGGTCAGATGATCGAGTTTCTGACATATCCAGGCAAAGGAGATTGCTTAAAACCAATTCGTGCTCTTCATTATAAATCCAGATCTAAGGAAGAAGAGAAAAGATCAAAACCCTAAGGCCTTTTACCCTCAGTAGTCAAAGAAAAAAAAATCCAAATTGGAAAGGAAGAAAACTCAGAATTATAGATGACATGCCATTACATTCAGAAAGCCCTAAAACTGCACCAAAACTGTTGTACTTTACATACCAATAATGAATGCTCATAATGAAATTAAGAAAATAATGCCATACCAATAATGAATCCTTATAATGAAATTAAGAAAATAATGTCATTTATAATAGCAAAGAAATAAAGTATCTAGGAATAAATTTAACCAAAGAAATAAAAGGCATACAATCTGCAAACTGTAAGACACAGATCATGTTTCCCTAAGCTAGGGAAACAGAAGAATAAAAAACAAGTGGAACTATATCAAAGCAACAAAGTTTATGCACAGCAAAGGAAAACACCATTTATGTTAAAGCAGTTTTGCATCCCTGGCATCAAACTCTCTTTTCACCACATATCACTCTTTTTGCGTATTGTTTGTCTTGATTTGCTAATGTTCAAGAAGAAACTTACTGAATGGAAGACGATATATGCAAATGACACATCAGATAAAGAGTTAGTATCCAAAAAATAGAAAGAACTCCTACAACTTAACAACAAAACAATCCGATTTAAAAATGGACAGAGGACATACGGATGGACAACAGTGTTGGTGAAGATATGGGGAAAGGGAGCCCTGGTGCCTGCTGGCGGTAATGTAAATCGGTGCAGCCACTGTGAAGACAGCAGGGAGGTTTCTCAAGAAATCAAAATAAAACTACAATATGGCCCAGCAATCCCGCTTTTTGGGTATTTATCCAAAGAAAACAAAAACTCTAACTTGAAAAGATATCTGCAGCCAAAAGATATAGAGGCAACCTATATGTCCATCAATAGATGAATGGATAAAGAAGATGTGGCACATACATACAATTCAGCAATAAAGAATGAACCTTGCCATTTGCAATTACAGGGCTGGACCTAGAGGGTATTATGCTAAGTGAAATAAGTCAGACAGAGAACACAAATAACTCATGATCTCACTTAAATATGGACTAAACAAGAAAACAAGAGCAGATGCTTAGATACAGAGAAGCGGAGGCTGCCAAAGGGGAGTGTGTTTGTGGGGGGAGGGGAGAGGTGCTCTTCCTTTGCCATTTCTCACAAATTCACATAACTTTCAATTCGTTCTGTATAACGGACGGTTCGATAGTCCTCTAAACAAACTGCGGCTACGTCTGCCCTCAGGGGCCGGCTGAGAACAGGAAGGCACTGCTCACCTGGTTTGGGTCCCTGTAGTCACAGGCCTTCAGCACCACTAGGCCTCCCTTCTGACTGGGGCGGCTCTGGGCCACCAGACACTTGCCAGTCTGGAGGTGATAAAGCTGTAAGAGAAAAGAATGCTCGTGAAACCCAGCATCGAAGGAAGACAAGCGCTAGAGGAGGAGGCATGGGATGAAACATGAAAATATTATTCTAGCAGATGAATTCCATGTCATAAAAGCATTTTATATTCCTAAATTCTAGCTTTGGCACAGAGGAGCATTACAGCAGACTTCAAGGTTACAGGCAATTTAACAACATATGCAAGCAATGTCACATGGGACTTCTACCTAAAGTTACAGTTTACTTGTCTCCTATAGGCAAGGACGAAAATCAAACTACCATTTTAGCACTAAAAAATATACTGGGGAAATGAGAACGAAGGGATAAAGCCAAGCAGAACTATGTAATTAATGTACTATACGTGCTGAATGGAGGTAAATACAGTTTATAAATGCCACAGGAATTCTAAGAGCGAGATGCATAGGGGAAGAAAAGCACGCGTCTCAGTACAAGGAGCTGTGAGCACCAAGTGGGATATGTACAAGGCGAGAAGAATGTAAGGAGGGATCACATGGGCATACGCTGGTACCTAATCTTACTTTAGCAGAAAACACCTAATAACATCCTGATGGTTTTTTAAATCTTAGAACAGAAGGGGAAGCTCTAGGCTGGACTCTGGCCCCGTAGTCTCGGCACTGCGGAGGCGCCTTTGGAACAGAAGAAACTGGCAATGGTTATAGCATCAGACAGCTCACCGGAAGGAAATTCTAAACATTTCTGCCTAGACCCTCAACATTTAATTGTGAAGAAATTCCTAAAGGAACAAAAGGGAACGTCTAAACAAATGTGGTTGGTCAGTGGGTTTCTGCTCAGTTCAGATCATCGGATATGAAATTTCAGCTTGTGCCAACACGTAGACCCTAACCCACCTCTACTTTTGTCTGCAGTCAGTTCCCTGAGCTGAGGTCAAACAATACACAGCTGCCTCAATTTCTCCTTTTGTTTTCCTAATTATCAGGTTTCTGCCAAACACTCATATTTATAGCTACCTACAGGAATCAGGCTCTTAACACTGGCAGTAAAGGATCCCAAATAGGAAAGATATTAAACTGTCTAAGGCCTTACACCTGAGTCGAGGAAATTTCATAAAAACATAATGGAAGACAAGCTAAAGCCTATCATTAAACATGTTAGGTCTATAATGTCACTTATTATATCATAAACATTAAAGAAACACTCTGCTAAGAGTGCTTCCTTACCCTTCCGCGCTGGAGGATCTTAGGGCGTTTTGGCCCCCTGTTGATAAAGATGGGTTGCTGGAGCTTGGCGTTGGGCCCAGACACCTGCATCTCTGGGTAAACGTTATCCAGATACCACTTGAATGATTTACAGCCCAACTTCCTCCTCAGTTCCAGGCGCTCGCTGACATTCCCATAGCTTCTTGTCCTCAGATCAGGTCTTAAGGAAAAATACTGCTCCTGAATTTAAAAAAGGAAATTGAGAAAAGGAATGGATCTTTTTGTTAAAATAAATATAATCAATTATATCTAAGGTTTAAAGAATTGAAAAAAATGGATGAGCAAAAATATTTTTCATGCCTGTGTTTTTTTGATGTTAACAGAAAATGTCAGAAAGTTTTTACACAATCAGTTCCATAATTATAAGACATTATTAACCTAACAACATACAGGCTGAGTGCAGATATGAGAATCCAGCTCTGTGCACCTGCCTCTGGAGTCCCCTAGTCCCTCACCCCCCAGCCGCCCAGGGCCAGCCTGAGGCTCAGGCAAGCCTCGGATGGCGGTTTCCCAGCCGCCCAGGGCCACCCAAGGCTCAGGTAACCAGCGCTGGGCTGCGGCTTGCACTGCCAGCAGTGGCAGCAGCAGAGGTGTGATGGGGCGTCACCTTTCCCTGATCGCCGGGTCACCTCCCGCCCCTGAGGGATCCAGGACTGTGGCAGGGTAGGCCTGGCTGACAGACCCTCCCTCCAGGGCATGAGTTTTCATGCACCGGGCCTCTAGTGAAAGGATAAAATAAAAGGCAATATGTTCACAATGGATTATTTTTCACAATAAAAAGGAACTGTTATATGGTATAATATGGATGAAACTGACATCATTCTAAATGAAAAAAGATGGTCACAAAAGGCCACATGCGAGAATGAGGCGGCCAATTACTGGTTGTCTAGTACGAGGGGTGATGGGGTGATAAGATATTCTTAAAAATTGTTTGTGAATTATACCTCAATAAAGCTATTGCAAAGAAAATAATATTGCAGGTTGCATCTAACAGAGAAGATGACCGGAAGGATACGGCATGAGCAGAGTCAAAGGAAAATTAAGATCAAACAGAAAAGAGTGATCCCTAGGCAAAGAGAAGCGAGAGAAAAGGAACCCTCGAGGAGATGGTCCCCCACAGGAATGTGCCAGAGCGAAAAGCAACCAAAGCCGGCCCAATCCTTCCTTCTTACCTTATATTCATCCAACCAAACGTGTGCCAGCCTCAAGGAGTTGTGTGTCATGGTGTCCTGGCCTTCGGGGGAACCATAGGGTCGTCTTTTCCGGAAAATGTGTCCGACTCTGGAGCAAGGGATGATGAAGAGCTTACCCCCACACATCCAGATCTGGTCAGAAGCAAAGCATGTGTCAATAGTTGCCTCACAGTGCTGTGGAGTCAGTGTATGGCTTATTGTGAAACTTATCTTTGTTACACAGCTTTTTGTAGGACTTTGCAAGATGCTTTATCTTAATAGATGTAACTATTCAAATAGAAGAAAGTCAAAGGCTGTATTTTTTATAATCATCTGTACAATTTTTTTTTAAAAAGTAAACTCTTAAACAATGTAATATTCTTTTACTATCACACACTGTTGTTTTACTAGATCAAGAAACTAGTAAATGCTGTTAAGCATTCAGGTGCTGTAATTTCAGTTTTACAGGTACTTTCTTATAAAATGTGTATATATGTATTTTTTAAAGAAAAACGTATAAAATATATAGAATAACTCTAGTTAAGATATAAAAAATCTTGTTTTGGTTTAAATTTTATTTTAGATTATGAGTTACTTTATACAGTTATTTTAATTTTTGTGGGACTCAATTACCTTATTTACAAAATAAGACTGAACTAATGTCTATTATTCCTTTCAACTTTAAAATTCAAAAGATTATGTAAGAAAAGCTGCCTTGTAAAAACACTGTGGCCAATACATTTGCAGAAATACAAACTGACATGCACAAGGCTCTGTGCTACTGTCTGAGTGTTGATTTGCGATCTGGACCAGGAGATGGGAGGTACAGGACTTCTGAGTTCTTTCCCTGCCCCTCTCTTCTTCCTCAGGTTGGAGGTACTTGTCTATGAAAGGGATTCAGTAAGCTATCCATGAGCTGATGAATAATGTCATATAAACTGGGCTACTTCTAAAAAGTGAAATGGGAGCTATTACTAATTTCTCTAGGGAAACACTGTGAACCAGATGGTCTTGGGCAATTGTGAAATCTGATCCCAACTATATACAGCAACTATATACAACTATATACAGGACTTAAATGCTCATTAAGTCCTCTGAATTGATACCCAATCATTCACTTTTGAATTCTTATAAATATAAGGCTTTTGCCCTAACCGGTTTGGCTCAGTGGATAGACCATCGGCCTGCGGAGTCAAGAGTCCCAGGTTGGATTCCAGTCAAGGGCATGTACATTGGTTGCGGGCACATCCCCAATGCGGGGTGTGCAGGAGTCAGCTGATCGATGTTTCTCTCTCATTGATGTTTCTAATTCTCTATCCCTCTCCCTTCCTCTCTGTAAAACCCAATAAAATATATTAAAAAACCATAGCCTTAAAACAAACAAACAAACAAACAAATAAAAGGCTTTTATATGCTTTTGACATTGTGAATGGCTACTACCCATATCTCAGATGATGGCAAAGAGGAATCATTAAGGGTAATTTCTTTTTTTTCTTTTTTTTAAGGGTAATTTTTTAATAAAGATAAAGAAAATTTACAGATAATACAGGATCATGGGTGAAAATTATATTTCATTACATACAAACAACAAAGCATGCAAAAAAATAAAATTACCCGAAATGATATTTCCAAGTTTTCTCCTCCCCAGATATCCATGCCACTGTCATATTGCCCGAGTTCACTGAAGTAGCTTCTATTCATGGCAAACAGTCCTCCAGCCATTGTAGGTGACCTAGAAAAGGAAAATAATTACTGTATCAATTCCATAAATTAGCTACTCTTTCAACTATTACAAAACATGGCTTATCTAAAATCAAGGGAGGAGCTGGACAACAGATCACTAGTGATCTACTAGACAACTGGTAAGTAAAGACTGTTTTCCTCAGTACCAAAAGGACTGTTTTTATTATAACCATTGTTGACAGAAATTATTTAATTCCTTTTGGCAATCTCAGAGCCACTGGGATAAACACTGGACTCCAGGGCCTGTCAAGGTGAGACCAGACAAACCCACCACTTTTTTTTTTGTTTTTTCAAGGCAAATTGGTTTTATTTTTGCAGAATCAAAGGGCAGTGCCTCTTTCTTTTCCCAGTTCAGACTCTATTCGAGATGTTCGCTGAAATCTAATCAAAGGCTTCTTCTCTTGCATACTGCATTGGTGTTTCGGGAAATTATGGCGGATCAACCACCGTACAAGTCAAAAAAATATGAAACCATGTTATTTCTCTTTAATTTAAGATCTGCTTTGGTAAATGGGTTAAATTACTAAGGGAGCCCACAAACCTCATGTCAATTGCACTTCCTCAGGGATTGGTAAAGAGAAGAAAAAAAAAAAGACTCCCCCTTCTCTGGAGGGAAATCTTGGGCCATGAGCCATTTATGCAAACACGATTGTAGAAAAGAACCCTAATTTGCACACAGACATTTATCCTTGTACCTTTTCCACATTAAATCGGTCTCAATGCTAAATGGACCCTTGCAGTTCATTGATTTCTTTCTCTGTTACCTTAAGGACAAAATTTCCTAGAAACAGGGCTACAAGAACTCTCAAAGTCAGATGGAGAATAGCAAATATCCTCCCAGGGGTTAGCAACAACGCATTTTTCTGGAGCCAGGAGGGTAGTCTCACTGGAAACTAAAGGAAACTGACAGATGTACCCAGCAGCCTAAAATTCTAAGAACATATTTGGCCTCTCTTTGCTCTGCCTCAAATGCCCTTCTTCAGCCTCTCCCTCATCTTTTTCAGCTGGAATAACTGCCCATTCTTAGAGCCCCAGCCACACTGATGCTGCCCCTCTAACCCTTGTTGGCTTTATTGGCCAGATAAGGCTAACGTCAGAGGAAAATTTTTTCCATGGGGATGGATGAGTAATCATCTGAAAATGGCGATGAGGATCAAGAGGAAGGTCAATAATGCTCTATACCCCACTGAACAGGACCCCCAGATTTCTTTCCCCCTTTCCCCCTTGGCCATGTGTACCCAAGGACCAAGGATGTATTTCCAGGACCTCCCACACAGCCAGGGACATCATAAGCTCTCAGGAAGCTGTTGAATGGGTGAATGACGGAGGCCATCTACCCTTAGACACAATAAAAGATGGTCACAGGCGTTCTCTAAATTAGGAGCCATTGAGCATGATGAGATCCAGAGGGATTCTGAAAGCAAGAAGCCCTACAAAGGGAAGTGTTGATTGACTCCATGGGAAAACCCACCACTTTTAACTGGACTCACACACGTGTTAGAGCAGTGGCTCTTAAGTAGTGATTCTGTCCCCCAAGCAAACATTTCTCTAACTTCCAGAGACCTTTCAGCTGTCATATCTGGGTAAGGCTGCTACTGGCACCTGATGGTGCCAAAGACTTTATCAGGCCCCAAAGGCCAATCCTGTCAAGCCTGAGAAACCTGTGTGAGTGAGAGGGAAGCAGACATCCTCTTTACTGAAACTGGGTGAGTGATCATGGATTCTAATGTCCCAGCTGCCAGCCACAAGTAAAGCAAAGTCTATGCAAGAAGAAAACATCTCCCCAGGTATGAATGTGTTTCTATAATTTCTCATACACAGTGTTTGGGGCTAAAATAAACAAGCAAACCAATAACCAAGCAAGCAAGAAGCTAAGAAAGAAAAACAAAAAACAAACTACAATAAAACGGATATGCAAGGGTGTCAAATAATAATCAGGCAGATATTTAAAAATAACTTCAATATGTTCAAGCACAAATGATGAGCGTTTAGCAGATTAGATATTATATAAAAAGAAACCAAAGTGTGCCTATCTGAAAAAAACACTGACAAAGACAGAAAGAAAACTTAAGCAGCCAATAAAAGAGATTAACTTCCAAGGAAACAAAAATAAGATTGGCCGGGACCGGTTTGGCTCAAAGGATAGAGCGTCGGCTTGGGGACTGAAGGGTCCCTGGTTCGATTCTGGTCAAGGGCATGTACCCTGGTTGCAGGCATATCCCCAGTAGGGGGTGTGCAAGAGGCAGCTGATCGATGACTCTCTCATCGATGTTTCTAACTCTCTATCTCTCTCCCTTCCTCTCTGTATAAAATCAATAAAATATATTTAAAAAAAAAATAAGATTGATTCTGATGTCTCACCAGAAGCAATGGAAGCCAGAAGGTTTTAGAATGAAACATTCAAAATCCTGAAAGAATGTATCTGCCAACCTAGAACTGGGTATCAAGCAAAATAATTCTTCAAAATAATGGTGAAACAAAGACCTTTTCTGAAAAAGGAGTTATCACCAGAAGGTCCAACCAAAAGAAATACTTAAATGTGTCAGTCAGAATGAAAAGACTCCTAAACAAAAATCTGCAGATGCAGAAAGAAGAGTAACATGAGAAATATGTGGGCAAACCTAAACCAATCATGTTTTATAGGGTAAAACATATTTACACACACGTATACATTTCAACAATGTGACCGGAGGAGGGATGACTGGAATATGAGCATTCTTAGCTCCTTGAGTAGTTTGGAGGAAGTACCAATTTACATTACACATTGGTAAGTCAGGAATGTATGGTGTAGTCTCTAGGATAGACACAAATAATCTACGCTAATAAGAGTAATATGCAAATTGGTCGGGATGCCTTCCCGGTGGGGCGACAAGGCTGGCAGGGGGGTTGGTGAGGGACAACCAAATGACTGATCAGCAGGCTGCAAGGGGGGACCAGGCTGGCAGTGGGAGGCAGTTGGGGGTGACCACACCAGTGGGGGGGGATGGTAGTGAGGGGCATCCAGGCCAGCAGGGGAGAGCAGTTAGGGATGACCAGGCCAGCAGAGGGGGGCAGTTAGGGATGACCAGGCCAGCAGAGGGAGGACAATTGGAAGAGACCAGGGATAAGTTTGTGCTTTTACTGGGGATCAAGCCTGCAAACTGGGCATGTGCCCAAATTGGGAATCGAACCTGAGACCTCCTGGTTCGTGGGTCAACATCAACTGCTGAGCCACACCAACTGGGCAGCACTCATAATGTAATGGACAAAGTAAACCAACACTTTTGCTTCTTGCAAAGAAGAAGGAATTATCTCTAAAAGGTTTTTCTCTCCTGAAGAACTGGAGGCGATACCCAGGAGAAAGCTCACTTTATCGGCGCAGCAGCTCCTTCTGGCCCTCCGAGCTCGGAACGGGGAACCAGGTCCCATTTGAAGTGCAGGCCCCAGTTGAAGCCTCCACGCACCACAGGGGACGAGCTGTAGGCCAGCGTGTCCGCACTGATGATGTCGATCACCGGGCACACGACCGTCCGCCGGTCCTCCCGGATGGCGGCCAGCAGGGGCTGCAGCCACATGACGTTCACCTCGCAGTGGCTGTCCAGGAACACCAGGACCTCCCCTAGGAGCAAACGGCAGCTTTACACACTCATCTCCCGCCACCACTCCTCCGGGGCCCCGCTGTCCCTCTGCTGGGTTTAGCTGGGACTTCATGTTTGGACTCTTCTCCCCTCCTTTTCTGTTTAAACCTACTCGAACCGAAGCAAATCAATAAAAAAGGAGAACTCTCCGCGTCGCCTGCAGTCACATGCAGACTGAATTCAAGGCTTATGGTTTCTCTCCTATTTAATTCTACTCAAAGACTTACTGCAAGCAACAGATAAAAATTATAGAGTATTTGTGGAAATGGCAAAATTATGCCATTCGAAACACTATTGTTACAACATATTACAGAGTTTTATTTCTCAGAGTCCAATGATCATTTAGCTTTTTTCATTATGATCTGTCAGATATCAGCCAGTTTTGGGGCAGTCTCAGGTTCAATGTGACTATGTGTAATCTTACTGTATTTTGTTAAATTGAAAAAAGGTAACATTTATAGAATTTTAAAAAAACTATCAATACATTTCTTAAAGGAACACTGATTTAATTGACTTCCCCTTGCACTGATGATGGACGGGGGAAATTCTGCCTTTCTGTATTTAATGACACCTGGCCGGTTGTATTTATGCTCTCTGGTCCTCACCAGGTTGTTCAGACACAGAGTTATGTTACTAACTCACTGTCATCATAGAGGAGATGGTATTTGCCTGTGGTATTTCTGCTATAAATAACTGAGATGGGATGATACTGGTGCTTTAGAAGTCAGCGGTCACCACCCGGTGGTCTGTGGACCACTGGTGGTCCATGAGGTCTGAAAGGCTGGCGGCCGCTGCTTTAAGTGGTTCGTGTGAAATCTACAGCGAAACATTTCATAGGTAAATCTTTAGAATAAAAATGGTATCTGACGAGTCCAGTTATCACTTAACTTCTAGGAATGACCAGGAAGTTATTGAAGATCTTATCAAAGAAACCCTTATTTCCACTCACATTTATCAAGAGGAGTTAAAAATGTCTAAATTTTTAAAAGAGTTATGAATATGATTTCTGTGTCCCTCAATCATAATAGTACACTCCAGGCAAATTTCCTAGCTGAAAGCCATCCCTGTTTCTGGCTTGGGTTAAACTAATGGTTTGTTTGGGCTGGGAGGGGAGCAGTTATATTTTATGCCATGTAAATATATCATCCGACTAAATGGCAGCAGTACCTAAATTACCTTCATGATTTTGGGGGGCCACACCCATGCAGACATGCAGTATTATGTACCTAATATCTCTAAGTAAATTCATTTAACTTGAATTTATTTTAAAAGGACATTTTTTTTTTTTACCAAGACCAGAAATGACAATCAGGATCACCAATCTTACACAAAGGTAACAATAAGAAGAAATACAATGGTACCAATATAATGTAACTGAAGACTAACCAGGTATATGTTCAGCAGAAGATTATGAATTTGATACCTGTTACTTCTTTTTAAAAGGGTCAAGATAGGTGTAAACTGGAAAGTTTTTAAAAATATAGTGGTAATAATGGAGACTTTCTCCTTGATAGACTTAGGAAAATTACCAGTAAGAGGAAATTTTTAAAGAAAATGTCTTTATAATTATGTAAGTCAACTTTTAAAATATGTTTTTATTGATTTTAGAGAGAGAGAATGGAGAGGGATAGACAGAAATACTGATGAGATAAACTGGCCACCTCCTGCACTCCCCCTACTGGAGATCAAGCCCACAACCTGGGCAAGTCCCCTGACTGAGAATTGAACTGGGGACCTCTTGGTTTATGGATCAATGCTCAACCACTGAGCAACACTGGCCAGGCTGTAAGTCAACTTTTCATCAAACAGTTTACGCACATATATATTCTGTTTTTTAAAAATTATATAACTTACGCTGCATTTTGGTTTGGCCTCTTCTGCTTATATACTAGTAAGTGAAGAAGATGCAAATATATTTGAGGGGCAGTAATTAACAATAGGGGCCTTTAAGAAAATAGGCCTGAGGACTCTGGAGTTCGCCTCCTTGTAGTCTGTGCTTTGGGACACAGGGTTGGAGTTCATCTCTCCCACTGGCAGTGCCCACGTAAGAACCACTTCTCAGGCCTCCACAGAGCAAGCAAAGGCACCAAGGACAGCCCTCACTGCTCAGCACCACCCACCACACCCAATGCGAAGTCATACCTGTTGCATGAGCTGCTCCTATCATTCTTCCCCGAATTAATCCCTCACGTTTTGTATTTCTTATTAACTTAATCTTCCCAGTGAGGTGTTTTTGGACAAATTCATCTAATTCTCCTTTCAAATCATCTGAAAATAAAAAGTCCCATAATTATTCAAACCACATGAGACACATATAGAAACATTTCATAGCTACTCTAAGGTTGTATCTGGTACTTCCAACAACAAATTGTCAAGTAAATATAGAATCTTCTGTTCTATTTTAAAAGATTGTGATTTATCTGATAAAGTGAAAAAAGGGAAAGAAATGAAGGGTAGGGAGGGAGGATCCAAGATGGCTGCACAGGTAAACACCTAACCGCGGGCACACACAACAATTTCAATAAAATACAACTAAAATACAAAATGGACATAACCCAGAACTACAGGAAAGTCCACTGACTGGACATTCTACAACGAGAAGGAAAGAGAAAACCAGAAGGAAGCGCGGAGGAGCTGTAACAGCCTGAGGTACAGAGACACGCTGCGCGCAGAGAGGACAGAGCCGGAGAGAAGGGGGCAGCTGAGGGCCTGGCTGGCGTTCCTTAGCAGGAAGGAGATAAAAGCTCCGGATTGGGCCGAACCCCAGACCCGACAGCGCTGAACCCCAGTTCTAGGCCAGACCCTGGGGACACAGGCTCATACAGAGGTAGCCTGGGCTGTAAGGCAGAATATCACGAGCGCGGCGAAAGGCAGAGCCCCCGGAGACGCGCACATTGCGCGCAGAGGACGGACTGTTGACTGTGGCACTGGATTGCCCTAGTGCACACATGACAAACACAAGGCCCTCGGGCCAAATCCGGCCCGCCAGGCCTTGCAATGTGGCCCGCACTGCGCTGTCATCACTGCACTCCGCTGCGTTCCATCACAATGACGCGCGGTGACATAGGAGGCTTGTGATCTCGCCGGCCGTCTCGCCATACTTGCTGTCTATTACGCATGCGCATAGATAACAAGTCACGCGAGATTCAGGAGGCGTGACCTATAGTCCGGCATCCGATGTGGTTGTGCCGGTGGCAGAGTAGAGGAGAGAGTGAGTGTGCGGGCATAAAAAATACACAGCAGAAGCTGCCAGTTCCTGGCATAAAGTGCAGGCATAAAAATCGCAACAGAATCTGCTAACTGTACCCAGCCAGGCATTTATTGACTGACTTTTTTTTTCTCCACTCCATCTGCCAAATCAAGCTATCCCTGTGCAGTTTTCAACTTTTTCCTTCTAACGCAGATTTCCAATAAACTACATCTTTTACTGCCAATATTGATCCCAAAATGTCCAGGAAAAGAAAAGTTGACGGTGAAGGCAGACAATTTAATGACAAATGGGAAAATGAATACATGTTTGTGCTTAGAGAGGGCAAACCAGTGTGTATATTGTGTTATGAGACAGTGTGGGTGATGAAAGAGTACAATATACGTCGTCATTTTGACACCAAACATAATGTTAAGTATGGCAAATATACTTTGGAAGAAAAGCATAAAATTGTTAAAGAACTAAAAGGCAAACTACAATCACAGCAGCAAATGTTTACAAAGGCTACAGCGAAAAATGATGCTGCAGTGAAAGCAAGCTTTATAGTGGCTGAAGAAATTGCCCGGACTTCAAGGTGTTTTTCAGAGGGTGCCTTTTTGAAGCAATGCATGCTAAAAGTGTGTGAGCAAGTATGCCCAGACCAGATACAGTTTTCAAAATGTCAGTTTGTCAAGAAACATCATTGCAGATAGAGTTCAAGAACTCTCAGGAAATCTATCATCACAGCTGGCCGAACAGGCATGCAGTTATCTCGCTTTTTCACTTGCTATCGATGAAAGCACAGACAATACTGATACAGCGCAGCTGTCCATCTTTATATGTGCTACGAAGACCGACCTCTCTGTCACTGAGGAACTTTTGGATGTAGCTGCCATGCATGGGACGACGACTGGTAGAGATATATTTGAGGCTGTGGAGAAATCTATAAATAATTTTAAATTACCCTGGGAAAACTTGGTGGGGCTAACTACCGATGGCGCACCTTCAATGTGCGGAGAAAAGAAAGGCTTGGTTGGACTAATGAAGGAAAGAATGCAAAAAAGTCACTGCCACACACCCTTGATTACTTATCATTGCATTATCCACCAAGAGGCTATGTGTGGAAAAGTTCTGGACATGAATGACATAATGACCACAGTCATTAAAACTATTAACTTTATACAGGCACGTGGCCTGAATCATCGCCAGTTCCAGCAGTTTTTACAGGAGGTGGGTACAGAGCATGGAGACGTGCCATACCACACAGAAGTAAGATGGCTGAGCAAGAGCGCAGTCCTCAAAAGATTTTTTGAGCTCAGAGAACAAATTGCTCTTTTCATGGAAAGTAAAGGAAAGCCCTTGCCTGAACTGTCGGATCCCGCCTGGCTATGCGATTTTGCTATGATGTGTGACATATGCGAGCATCTCGCCCAACTGAATCTGAAGCTGCAGGGACGCAAACAAGTCATCACGAAGATGTCTGACATGATCACAGCATTCCAGCGTAAACTTCAACTATGGAAGTCCCAACTGGAACAGGACAATCTTGCCCACTTTCCCGTTTGTTTGAGTATCTCAACCACTATTTCTGGTACTTTTCCTTGCAGTCGGCTGGCTACCAAAGTTAGCCGTTTACTAAGTGAATTTGAGCGGCGCTTCTCTGACTTTAGAACACAGCACTCAGGCTTTGACATCTTTGCCAATCCTTTTACAGTTGATGTCAACAATGTGCCCCATCACCTTCAGATGGAGATAATCGAGCTTCAGTCTGACAGTGGCCTGAAATCAAGGTTTCAGGATGTTGAAATTGAGGACTTCTACCCTCTTCTGCCCCCTGACTCAATGCCAGAGCTCCGACTTCATGCTGCCCGTATTCTATCCATGTTCGGGAGCACCTATCTTTGTGAACAGATGTTTTCAATAATGAATCTGAACAAAAACAAGCACAGATCACGCATTACCGATGACAACCTCCATGCTGTTTTGCGGGTTGCTACAGCCCAAGAAATAAAACCGAACATTGACTCATTGATCCGGGGAAAACGGTGTCAGACATCTAGCCAGAAAACAAAACGATGAGCATTTTAGGTACATTCCAATATTACTGTTTTGCTTGATACCAATATTACTGTTTTGCTTGATAGCATGTGAATTGGTTAACAGCACTGTTAAGGAAAAGATTGTTCCACTCATTTTAAATTCACATTTCTGGTTAACATTGTCAGTTTATGACTGTTCAGTAAACCATTCGGCCCGCGATTTAGGCTGGATTTTAGATTTTGGCCCCTTCTCTGATTGAGTTCGACACCCCTACCCTAGTGGGAAGGAGACAAAAGCTCCGGACTGTGCTGAGCCCTAGTTCCGACTGCACTGAACCCCAGTTTTAGGCCAGACCCCGGGGACCCAGGCTCATCCAGAGGGAGCTGGGCTGTAAGGCAGAAACCCAGGGGAGCGGCGAAAGGAGGTCCCGGAGGCGCGCACATTACGTGCAGAGAACGGGCGGTTGGCTGTGCCGCAGGATTGCCCTGGCGGGAGGGAGACAGAGGCTACAGACTGCTCTGAACCCCACTTGCAACCCCACTTACAACTGAACTGAACCCCAGTTCCAGGCTCATTGGGGGAGAGCCTAGACTGTTTGGTAGCAGACAAAACTCGAGGGCACCTTTCTCTCAGAGGTGCTTGCAGCGAGTACCAAAGGACCCTGAGGAACACTGAGACTCAGGAGCCTTATAAGGCATGGCTGACGGAAGCCAAGGCTGTAGGCTCCACCCCGAAACTCTGCCCTATCCAAGCTGAACACAGAGACTTTAAGGCTACCAACTCAGGGAAGCTGCGAAAATGCTGAGACAAGGAAACAGATCATAAACGAAAGAAATGGAAGACAAAAAGCGACTGGATATAGAGTTCAAAACCACTCTTATACGGTTTTTCAAGAATTTCCTAGAAAGGGCCGATAAGACCTATAAGGATATGAAAAGGGATCAACTAGAATAAGGGATCAACAAGAAATAATAAGGGATCAACAAGAAATAAAGAATACATTGTCTGAAATAAAAAATATTATACAGAGTCCTAAAAACAGAATGGGAGATCGCAAGAATCAAGTCAAAGATTTGGAACATAAAGAGCCAGAAGACACTCCTCCGCAGAAGCAAGAAGACAAGAGAATCCAGAAAGTTGAAGATAATGTAAGAAACCTCTGGGACAACTTCAAGCGAACCAACATCAGAATTATGGGGGTCCCAGAAGATGAGAGAGAGCAAGATATCGAAAACATACTGAAAGAAATAGTGACAGAAAACTTCCCCCACCTGGTGAAAGAATTAGACTTACAAGTCCAGGAAGTGCACAGAACTCCAAACAAAAGGAATCCAAAGAGGACCACACCAAGACAAATCATAATTAAAATTCCAAGAGCAAAAGACAAAGAGAGAATATTAAAAGCAGCAAGAGCAAAGCAGGGAGTTACCTATAAAGGAGCACCCATACAATTGTCAGCTGATTTCTCAACAGAAACCATGGAGGCCAGACAGGAATGGCAAGAAATATTCAAGGTGATGAATAGCAAGAACCTACAACCAAAAATAATCTATCCAGCAAAGCTATCACTCAGAATCGAAGGCCAGATAAAGAGCTTCACTAATAAAAAAAAAAAAAAGCTAAAGGAGTTCATCACTGCCAAACCAGAATTATATGAATTGCTGAAGGGGGTTCTTTTGGAATAGAAAGTAAATAAAGATAAAAACTATGAACAACAAATACGTAACTATCAACAAGTGAATCTAAAAACCAAGGGAATTAAAAAAAAAAAATCTGATGAACAATATTAACTGGTGAATATAATGGAATCAGAGGTATGGAAGGGGAGTGAACTGATGATTCTCGGAGAAAAGGGGAGAGTGGGGTGTGGGAAGAGACTGAACATAAACTGTGCACGTATGGATGAGGACAATGAGAGGTGGGGAATGGGCAGAGGGTGGGGTGGGAACCTGGTGGAGGGGAGCAATGGGGGGGAGGAGGAGGAGCATTTGTAATATGAAAAATAAAGATTAAAAAAAAAAAGAAAGAAATGAAGGGTAGGAGTTGGAATACCAGCCAAGAGAAATACTTACCTTAATTATACACTTATTTATATTTTGCAGCAAAATGGTACAATGCTTTGCATAAAAATGTTTGAAAATGAATATTGAGTCAATATTCCACTGATAAATCAGATTTAAAATGAAGAAAATGGGATGTAAATATCTTTTGTTTGAAAGCAATTTATCATGTCTTACTCCATTTCAGAACAATTGAGAAACAATTTCTACGGTCCCTACCAAAAACTAGATAATAGCAGCAGTAAATGTGCCTTTATTAGTTTAGGGCCTTCCTAGGGTGAATAACTTGTGGTACTTAGATCGCTTTTTGTTTGTTGATGGTCTCCTTGGCTGTGCCAAAAATGTAAATTGATGTAGTCCTGTTTAGTTTTTCTTCTTCTCTTGCTCGAGGAGACTTGCCCATTACTAAGAGCAACATCAGAATTTACTGCCAATGTTTTCTTCTAGGAGTTTTGATTTCAGGTCTTACATTTATGTCTTTAATTCATTCTGAGTTTTATTCTTATACTAGAGGCCCAGTGCATGAAATTCATGCACAGAGGAGGGGGGGGGGTTGTCCCTCAGCCCAGCCTGCAGCCTCTCCAATCTGAGACCCCAAAAGGGACCTTCATTTTTTCCTCCAGGAGTGTGGTGGAAAAACCTTAGATCACCTTCTTGGATTTTTATAACCCAGATTACCAAAACACTGCAAGCTCTCCTACAGGGAGCTTAGCCAATGAGCTGTCAGAGAAGGTATTTACTCTCAAACTGGTTTGGCTCAGTGGATAGACCGTCGGCCTGCAGACTTAAGGTCCCAGGTTTGATTCTTGTTAAGGGCATGTACCTTGGTTGTGGGCACATCCCTAGTGGGGAGTGTGCAGGAGGCAGCTAATCTATGTTTCTCTCTCATTGATATTTCCAACTGCCTATCCCTCTCCCCTCTTCTCTGTAAAAAAAAAAAAAAAAAAAAATCAGTAAAATACATTTTTAAAAAGGTGTATCCTCTGCAGGTCATGAAGGCCCTGGGTTGTTCACTGGGCTAGGGGTGTGTCCCTGCCACTGCATGGTGGCTGCACATCCCAGAGGCCAGCAGCCATTCCCCTGTGGAGGGTGCTGGGCTGGGGGCGTGGACACGAACCTCCACTTGGTACCAGAGCTCGGAAAGCCACTGGGGGCGGGGTAGGACAGGAACATCCCTGTCTCCAGCCCTACCATGGGCCCCAGGCTGGGGGCATGCAGGGACCCTGGGCAGCACGCAGCAGTGGCTGCCAGGGTCTCAGCACACCAGAGGCCAGCAGCCAGCCCCCCATCGTGGGCACCTGGCTGGCGGCGTAGACCAAAACCGCTGCTTCATGCGTAAGCCTTTGCAAGGAGGGACAGGAACATAGCGACTCGGGGATGTTCCCACCCCAGGCTGCTTGGTGCCTGCACCCATTGGCTCTGAGTGGCCAGGGGGCGTTCTAGGAGCCCTGCCACTCAGGACCTAAGCGTGGGCCTACAGGACAGGAGCAGCCTGGGTATGGAGGACGTTTCCGTGACCCAGGCTGCTCAGCACCTGCATATGCAAATTAAACACCATCTTTGTTTGGGTTAATTTGCATATTCACTGATTGGCTTTATGTGTCTGTTTTTATGCCAGTACCATACTGTTTTGATTATTATAGCCTTGTAATATAGTTTGATATCCAGAAGCATGATTCCTCCATTGCTGTGGCTATGAAGGGTCTTTAGTAGGTATTTATTTGTGGTTGGCTCCATTGCAATTGCATGCATACGATTCTCCCATCCACCACGCATTGAAGGGTAGGCCTTGATGATGTTGTCAATACCACAAGGAACAACAGCCTAGATCCTACATTACCAGTGACAACTTTCCTTACCGAAGTCACTGCTGTCATCCACCAAGATGATTTCATGGAGAAGCCGGGCTGGGGTGCGGTCCAGGACACTGTGCACAGTACGCAGCAAGGCAGACAAGGCTTCATTGTAGAAACAAATAACAACACTAGCGACTGGCAGATCTGTAGGGTATGCCTTGTCTTTACAGCTGCAAAGATGAATGAGAAAAATTCCAACAATTCAAAAGGCTCAAATGTTTTACATTATTATTCACTAAACCTTAACTATGACCTTATACTGCATCTTCCTTGCACTATAACCATTTTTTAAAAAGCATTTAAGGAAACAATGTGGTTTCTTACATTTGTTAATAACTTCTTCCTCTGATGGTGCTACTCTGCTTATTTTAAACATTTTAAAAACTTTATTTTTTCTTTTTTGGTACATAGATTATATAAAATCACTGCCAAGTATTTTTAAAATATATTTTTATTTATTTCAGAGACGAAGAGAGAGGGAGAGGGACAGATAGATGGAAACATCAACGATGAGAGAGAATCATTGATCTGCCTCCTGCAGGCTCCACAATGGGAACTGAGCCTACAATCTGGGCATGTGCCCTGACCCGAAATCAAACCATAACTTCCTGACACTCAACCACTGAGCTACAATGGCCGGGCTCATTGAAAGTTTTTAATGCATTTGTAAGTTGATATTCAGCTTCTCCTCAGTGAGGTCTCAAAAAGGAAAAATAAATATAAAACTTTATCTGAAAATTTTATTTTTTACTCACTAATAAAAAAACGTTTGAGCAAGCTATGATATATATCAAGATAATGGAAGAGCTTCCATGTAAGTACCTAATAGGTGGCTTTATACAACAACAAGACCACCAACTTACAGATCGAATCCAGAAATCCACTCTCTTTTGCACGGCACAGAGTGCCCTTCCATTGGCTGGGCCCAGCCTGCTCCAGCCTCTTGCCACTCTTTTTTAAAAAATATATTTTATTGATTTTTTACAGAGAGGAAGGGAGATAGATAGAGAGCTAGAAACGTCGATGAGAGAGAAACATCAACCAGCTGCCTCTTGCACATCCTCTACTGGGGATGTGTCCACAACCAACGTACATGCCCCTGACGGGAATCGAACCTGGGACCTTTCAGTCCACAGACCGACGCTCTACCACTGAGCCAAACCGGTTTTGGCCTCTTCACTCTTCCACTACGGCTGAACCAAACCATTTGGGTCCCTGTGACAAACTATATACCTTTATGCCTCAGTCTGTCCCCCTACTCCCTTGCATCACTGCTCAGTCATCACTGAGAAACCTTCCCTGACCACTCCAGTTTGGGGGCCCCATTTCACTAGTTTCCATCACAGCCATCATTCTTTGCTACTACAATTATTTGTTTCTTTTTTTTTTTTCTTTTCTTTTTTTAAATTATTTCTTTCTTTATCTTCCCTGCTAGACTTGAAGGCCTGTGAACCCAAAAATGTCTGTTTATTTTTGAGGCCTAATACAGTGTCTAGCAAACAGTAGGTGCTCAAATAATCTGTATGTGGAATGACTGACCAACTATCTATAATAATAAGCATGTAATATGCTAATATGTACTTAGAACAGACAGCCGAACAACCTTCGGGACATCACTCCGAACCTCTTTCCGGATGAAGCCAGTGGCGGGGGCTGAGGCAAAGACAGTTAGGGATGATGAGGTAGACAGGCAAGCAGCTAGAAGCCAGTGGTCCCAGACTGCGAGAGGGTGCAGGCTGGGCTGACCCCTTCCGCCCTGTGCACGGATTTTGTGCATTGGGCCTCTGGTAAGAATGAAAGCCTTTGACAAAACTAAAATACTGAAAACAGAAAAGTTAGCCAATAAGTCAAATTCTTCACTGATGTATTGGATTCATGGCAAAAAGGAATACATTAACATTTTTAAAAAACTTATGCTCAGACCCCAGCTGGTTTGGCTCAGTGGATAGAGTGTCAGCCTGTGAACTGAAAGGTCTGGGTGTGATTCCAAACAAGGGCACGGGCCTGGGTTCTGGGCTTGATCTCCAGTAGGGGGTGAGCAGGAGTCAGCCAATTAATGATTCTCTGTCATCATTGATATTTCTATCTCTCTTTCCCTCTCCCTTCCTCTCTGAAATCAATAAAAATATTTTAGAGAAAACAAAACAGAAAAGCTTATGCTCAGGCTATATAATTAAAAAAAGTTGGCCCCTCTCTTCTTTCTCCACATTATTTTAACTTTTGAAAGGGACACAGCAGGTTCCAGAATTTTGCTGGCAGAGTCTCAGCCCCTGCGGATTCACATGTCCTCAGAGTAGGTCTCTGGCTTTAGTAATCCAGCATCCGGAATAGCAAAGCCTACTGCACAGTATTAATTCCACCCTCAGACTTCTTACACTGGTACTGACAGCACTGTGCCACTAAACTGATTAGCAGAACCCGAGAGGGACATACGCTGCATTCCTTGTATCTGGCACATCTCTGTGGTAGCCCAAACGGTTGCTAATAAGAAGATTGAAGGCATGCTTCTGATACCCCAAGTCTCTCAATTCCTGGTCACGTTCATTAAAAATCATACCTGCAAAAGAGTGAAGTTACAGTCAGTGCATGAAATCTGCAAAAGATTACAATTACTGTTATGTTATGATCTTAAGAAAATCTTGACTTTAAATTCTTATAACCATATAATAGCCATGTTTCTCAATCCATTTTTGAAAAAGTAAATTGAGGTTAAAGCCAAATTTGTATCAATCCAGCTCAAAAAGCAAGTGCAACTTAACCATAAATGACATCTTCTTACTATTCATAATCTTAAAAATATCTTCAAAAGAAAAACTTACCTCTGACCAAGAAAAAAAGGAAACTTAATGATTTTTTCCATAAAAGCAGTAATAATTGAACAGGCCCCGGTTACAGACAAGTTCTTACATAAACCCCTTCCCTAAAAAAGACTTAATAAACTTTTCTATAAAGTCATTGGTTCCAGGCTTAATCAGCATCTATCAAGAAAGCCCTCCGCTGCCGAAACCGGTTTGGCTCAGTGGTAGAGCGTCGGTCTGTGGACTGAAAGGTCCCGGGTTCGATTCCGGTCAAGGGCATGTATCTGGGTTGCGGGCACATCCCCAGTGGGGGATGTGCAAGAGGCAGCTGGTTGATGTTTCTCTCTCATCGACGTTTCTAGCTCTCTATCTCTCTCCCTTCCTCTCTGTAAAAAATCAATAAAAAATATATTATAAAAAAGAAAAAGAAAAAAAAGAAAGCCCTCCGCAGGTCCCTTAAGGTAACATCCCTGCTGTAATATTCTGCCCAAAATCTTACCCCGACCTTTTGCTTCCTTTCTCCCATGTCAAACCTTTAGCCTCTCCTCAAAGAATGACTCCCTTGCAGCAGCACTTCCCAAGAGCTGGTCATGAAAGCTAATTCCACTGGACATTAACAGATCTTAGGAAGAAAAAAGGGACTTTCTGGTCAGATAAGTCAGGGAAAAGCAGGGTTTTAAAACTCTGACCCTGCACCGGTGGTGACGTGACCATCCGCCAGGGGTCGGGGCAGAAGCAGCGTTCCTCCTCAGTTAGCTGACCCAGCGGCCAGAGTCCCCACGCCCACCTTGGGAAACACTACCTCTTTATCCACGTGCTCACGGGAACTTTTAAAGTTGGAGCACATCCTTTGTTAAATACAGAAGAACAAAGCTCTTTGAGCATTCTGTATAAGGACGAAAACTCCATGAGAGCAAAGGCTGCTATAACAAATTTTTGTTTGTTATAGCAGCCTATAACAAACTGTACATAAATTTTTGTTTGAACACACATTTGCAATTCTTTTGAGTATATACCCAGGAATGGGATGAACTGCTAGGCCATCTATAATTCTATGCTTATTTACTGAGGAACTCTTTTCCACAGTGGCTGCGCCATTTTACATTCATAGGGCAGTATCTGAGGGTTCCAATTTCTCTACATCCTCACCACTTATTACTTTCCTTTTTAAAAGGTTATAACCATCCTAGAGGATGTATCTCATTGTGTTCTGGTTTGAATTTCTGTAACAACTAATTATGTAAAACATCTTTTCATGTGCTTGTTGGCTATCTTCTTTGGAGAAATGTCTATGAAGTTGGGCTATTTGTCTTTTCATTCTTGAATTCTAAGAGTTCTTTAAATATTCTGGATAATGGACCCCTGTTAGAAATATAGTTTGCAAACATTTTTCACCCATTTTTTGGGTTGTCTCCTTCACTTTCTTGGTAGTATTCTTTGATGTTACAAAAGTTTTTAATTTTGATGTAGTCCATTTTTTTTTCTTTTGTTGCTTGTACTTTTGGTGTCATATTTAAGAAACCATTGCCAAATCCAAGGTCATAAAGATTTCTTCTAATGATTTCTTCTAAGGGTTTTATAATTTTAGCTCAATATTTATGTCTGATCCAATTTGAGTTCATTTTCATATACCATAGGAGGTAAGAGTCCAACTTCATTCCTTCGCATGTGGGTATGTAGTTGTCTCAATGCCCTTTGTTGAAAAGACTATTCTCTCCCCATTAAATTGTGTTGGCACCTTCTTTTTGTCGTTGTTGTTGTTAATCATCACCTAAGGATATTTTCCCATTGATTTTTAGAGTGGAAGGGAGGGGAGAGACAGTGGAATACCCACTGGCTGCTTTCCACTTATGCCCCAACCAGGGCCAGGGATCAAGCCTGCAACCAAGGTATGTGCTCTTGACCAGAACTGAACCTGGACCCGTCAGCCCAAGGGCCAATGCTCTCCCCTGAGCCAAAGCAGCTAGAGCCTGGGCACACTTTTTTTTTTAAATCAACTGACCAGAGCTGCCACAGGTTTACTTTATATTTCTCAGCCATCCACTAATCTATATCTGTGCCAGGACCACAGGTTTGATTACTATAGCTTTGTAGAGGTTTTGAAATTAGGACATATGAGTCATCCAATGTAGTTCTTTTTCAAGATTGTTCTGGAGACTGCTAAATTTCTCAAACAAGCTGCAGCTGATGAAAGTGTGCCCCAAATCTATCAATAAAAGGCCCAACACCCAGCACTAGCACCCACCATGTCTTGCTTCACAGCTGGGCCTTGCCTGGGCACCTCCAAGCCCAATACAAATAGAAAATAGCAGATCCCTCTGTAGCTCCTGCTGTGTGACCCCTGGAAGCCCGAGAACCAGTGCCCCCAGAGGACAGCTTCAGACCACAATTCTATCCACCCACGAGTGATACACTCATGGGGCAGACTCTTCTTTAAGAAGAGGAAGAGGAAGAGGAAGAAGAGAAGATAAAAATATGAACAATAAAATGGCAACAAATACTAGTACATATTTATCAATAATTAAATCTAAACAAATCAAATGTACAAGAAATCTAATGAACAAAATACACTGGTGAATGAAATCAGCACCAAAGCCTTACTGAAGCAAGTCCTGCTCCACAGGGATGTTCCCTGCACAGCAGCTCTCTCTCTGTAGTTGCAGCTGGTCCTCACAGCCAACTGGCTTGAAGGTCAACTCCTCCCAGTGATGCCAACAGCAATTAAGGCTCAACTACAAGCCTGTGCACACAGCACACACAGGGGCACACCCAGAATTCCCAGCTCAGGTGACTGGGGAGATTGAGCCACTGGGCCCTACAGGACACCTACTACACAGGCCATTCTATAATTCCAGGAGACACAGTAGCTCTACCTAGTACACAGAAACAAACACAGAAATACAGCCAAAATGCAGAGACAAACATGTCACAAATGAAAGAAATGGAAGCCAGCAAACTATTAAATACAAAATTGAAAACCATGGTTATGAAGTTACTCAAGGATCTTCATGAGAATTTCAAGGATCTTAGTGAGAATGTCAAAGACATGAAAAAAGGACCATTCAGAAATTAAGCATACACTAAGTGAAATAAAGAATAATTTACAGGGACTCAATAGTAGAATAGAGGATTCTGAGAATCAAATCAACTATTTGAAATATGAGGAAGAAAAAACACTGAAATCAAGAGAGCAAAAAGAAAAAAGAATCCAAAAATATAAAGTGTAAGGATCCTCTCACTTCAAGCACACCAACATTCGCATTATCGGGGTGCTAGAAGGAGAAGAAAGAGAGCAAGGTATTGAAAACCCATTTGAAGGAATAATAACAGAAAACCTTCCCTACCTGGTGAAAGAAATAGACTTACAAGTCCAGGAAGCGCAGAGAGTCCCACACAAGAGGATCTGAAAGAGGCCCACATTAAGACACATCATAATTAAAACACCAAAGGTTAAAGACCAAGAGAGAAACTTAAAAGCACCAAGAACTCAAGGGAGCACCCATATGACTGTCTCCAAAGAAACTTTGCAGGCCAGAAGGGAGTGGCAAATATTCAAATTGATGAATAGTAAGGGTCTACAACCAAGATTACTCTACCCAGCAAAGCTCTCATTTAAAATTGAGGGTCAGATAAAGAGCTTTACAGACAAGAAAAAGCTAACAGAGTTCATCAACACCAAACCAATATTACATGAAAGGTTAAAGGGTCTTCTTTAAGAAGAGGAAGAGGAAGAAGATAAAAATATGAACAATAAAATGGCAACAAATACTAGTACATATCTATCAATAATTAAATCTAAACAAATCAAACGTACAAGAAATCTAATGAACAAAATACACTTGTGAATAAAATATAGTCAGAGACATGGAAGCATGGAACAGACTGATGACTCTCAGAGGGAAGAGGGAGGGAGGGCAGGAAGAAGCCTATCTTTGCCTTAAGTAATCCCTGTCCATTGTTTCTATACATCTAGGCTAATACCCTTTTGAAATGCCCCCTATCAGACCTCTCAAGAAAGCACATAATCTTAACTACCTGTAATCGAATCCCTGAGTTGCTTTTCTTCCACCTCTATATAATCTTTCTTACATTCCCTCCTTAATTTCTAATGCATAAGACACTGCAAACTGTATTTTTAGAAGCATTTATCTTCGTCCATTGAGACCCTGATCCCTCTTTTTGGCTCAAATAAATTTTTATAAAATACCATAGGCCCGGTGCACAAATTCGTGCAAAACGGGGGCCGATCAAGGTTGGGCTGGTGGGGGGAGGGGCTGTGGGCAGTTGGCCAGCCAGTCCCACCCTCGATCGGGGTGAGAGGGCGATAGGGGACCAGGCTGGCCGGTCAAGGGGAGGGGCTGTGGGATGGCCCACAACCAGGCTGGTTGACCACCATAGTGCGCATCAGAGCAATTGGTTGGTCCGGTTGTTCCACCGTTCTGGTCACTTGGCTTTAATATATACAGACTAGAGGCCCGGTGCATGAAAATGCATGCACTGGAGGGGGCATCCCTCAGCCCAGCCTGTCCCCTCACAATCCAGGAGTGGGAGGGAGGATTGTGAGGGGACAGGCTGGGCTGAGGGATGGGAGGGGTGGGAGGCAACCTGGCGATGAGGGGAAAGTGACGCCCCATCACACCTCTGCTGGCCTTGGACTGCCCTGGTTACCTGAGCCTCGGGCGGCCCTGGGCTGCTGGGCAGCCACCATCCAAGTTTTGCCTGTGCCTTGGGCCGGCCATGGGTGGTTGGGAGACTGAGGGGACTGGGGGACTCCAGAGGCAGGCAAATAGAGTGTGCCTGCTGCCCTGGCAGGCCTGAGAGGACTGGGCACTACCATCTTGTGGCTGTGGATGTTGCCATCTTTGAGGGGGGGGGGGGCAGTCAATTTGCATATTTCCTCCTTATTAGCTGTGGGTGCTGTCATCTTTGCAATGGTGTGAGAGTCAATTAGCATATCCCCTCTTTATTGGATAGGATTTCTACGTTTGAACATTTCTTTATGCTGACAGGCTCCACATTAATTTTAGAATCAGCTTTTCTATCTCTTTAACAAAGGCTATGGGGATTTTAATAAAGTTTCCATTTGATCTGTAGCTTGGCTTTGGATAGTACAGACATCTTAACAGTTTTTAGTATTTCATTCTATAAACCTACATATTTAGATCTGCTTTTATTTTTTTCAGCAATGATTTGTAGTTTTCAGTGTACAAATCTTGCACCTCATTAATTAAATTTATTCCTAAGTATTTTATTCTTTTGAATAGTATTCTTGCTGCCAACTTGTACAAAAATACAACTGGTTTTTGCATGTTGATCTTGTACCCTGTAAATTTGCTGAATTCATTTATTGGCTGTAATAGATTTTTTGTGTATTCTTTAGGAACTTTTTGAGAATTTAGTTGTTCGGTGAGGCAATTTGGGTTTGTCACTTCAAAAAGCTACAATTCTCTCGCTGCTTCTTTCCAAAGCAAATATAATAAACCCAACATTATTTCTGAATAAAAGTTTCACCAAAATAACTATGAATAAGAATTTTTCCCACTAATACTCTTAAAATGTCTACATGGCTATTTGAAAAAGATTAATGTATTTTATAAAAATTGAAGTATTAGCTTCTATTTCCTCATATTTTAAATACTTTTTTAATTTCATGTATTAAAAAAATCATTAAATCCTAGAAACTTATTTTATTTTTTTGAAACTAAGATACAAAAATGTTTTAACATTTCCTTTACATTCTATCTTTCAATTTCTTGAAATACTATTTTATGCTTCCATGATAAGATCAAATTCCTTTTAAGTTTTAAAGAAAACCAAAATGGCTCATTTATCTCTTAAAATAAAGCTTGCTAAAACCAGTATTTGAGAATTATAATATTCAAAAACATATACAGCCTATTCTTGCTATCAACTTGAACAGAATTTTTGAAGAGAAAATCTTATATTTTGTACTCAGATTTTATAAAATTCTATATTAAATATTTAGAGCAACTTAATTCATATAAGCAGAAATTAAACATAAGTAATCTCAAATTACTTCTCAACCCAGTGAGTTTTGTTGTTTTAACTAATTCTGTGACTTAGAGTCAAACATGTTTCCATATTAAATAATTATAGCAATTAAAATCCTCCCCCATAGGTTCCACTGTCTTTCCAACCCCTTAATTTCTCATTTCCTATTCTGGATCTTACTAGTTTCTCCCAGTCCTCATAAAGTACTGAAGTCAGAATTGGACATATTAGAATATAACTCCCCTCTAATTCTACAAAAACCATAGATCTCAGCTAGTTCATGAACAAAATAAACTGGTGGGGGGGAAATGATACATTTCTGCTCCCCCGAGCAACACACAACTTAAAGAATAATTAAAACTTAAACTTCCAATGATTAAATACAATGATTAAAAAACATGCTGCTAGCAAAAATCAAATACACTTACCCAATTCAGAAGAGAATTTCATGTTGCCTTTTTCTGCATCTTCAATATGATTATCTACCACATCATGAATCTTGTTTGCTTGGAACTGTAATTCTAATATTCGATTTGGACCTCGGGTAAAACGGGGATAGAATTTTTTGGGGAAAGGCCCATGGGGCCCAGACCCCTTGATGGGCACATTCCTAAGTGGCTGAGTCACTTCACTGAAGTTGAAATAAACAAAAAGCAAAACCGTCCAGGTCGCAGATGTAAAAAGGCATCCATAACAGAAATATCGAACTGTGATGCTTCCCATCATAGACCTAGCATAGCTGAAGGGCCATTTTCAGTTTCCTGAAAGAGAAGGATAGTAAGTCAAACACTTCATGATATCTGTAAATCTCCCACCAAGTTCATATTCACTGTTTCTCAAACCACCAGTGGCACTTCTGAGCTATTTCCTTAGGATCTCTAGGCATACTATTAAAGATTCAAATGGAAGAAAATGTGAATAGCCAAATTAAAAAATAAATGCAACAATTAAAAACACAGGCCAATGAATTAATGCTCAGAAAACCAATGACAGCAAAATAGCTGACTTATTCGCCTGCCCATGTCAATGGATACTGCTCCACCTCTGTTCTGGATTGCTTTCAGTGTGGTGTTTTTTTTCCCCAGATTCTAACTTTTAATGAGGGAAATACCAGTCCAACATGTGTCATGAAAGTACATCTAAGATCCCTTCCAACTATAAAATTGTAACTCTTTTAATCCCAGGATCTTAAAATCTGTTATTAAAAATAAGCAACTAAAAAAATAGTTCACTTTCTAATCAAAGATTAAACCTACCCTAATGCCTACTCTAGATTAAACAGTTACATTTTAAATTTATAACCAAAAGCGTTGTGGACGAAAAGGGGCCACATGCTAACCTGACTAACTCAGAAAAGGCCTGCATAGTGGTCTTGCAAATAACCACAAAGGATGGTCTGAAATTAAAACCTTTAATTAAAAAGCAGTTTATAGTGGACTGGAGGCCTGGTGCACAAAATCTGTGCATGGGTATGGTCCCTAGGCCTGGCCTGTGATCAGGGCCATTTCCCCTGGCTGCCCACGGCCAGCCCCGCCCCCCGCCTCCACCCCTCACCCCGAGTTTCCCATTGGCCATCGGGTGTTCAGAGCCTTGGTGGGAGAGACACCAAGAGATTGGCCATTCCCTCTGGCTTGCCGGCCCCACCCCCGCCTCGGGCTGCCCTGTTTGGGGCAACCCTTGGAGTGGGGCCTTGGCCTGGCACTGCCAGCATCCTGTCACCCACCCCTGGTTCCCCATTTCCCATCAGGCGATGGGAGCCGAGAGGTGGTCAGTGCACCTCATAGTGACTGGTCGCAGTCATTCTGGTCATTCTGCCTTTAGGGTCAATTTGCATATTACACTTTTATTACATAGGATTGTTACGTCCTAGGCCAGTATCTCCTGACAAAGATCAGCTTAGATCTTTACTGAGCCTATTGTCTTTTTGAATCTAAGATAACAACTTTGGAAAGTCAGAACTACTTTTAACTTCCCTTTTTCTGGACCCCTCTGGGCACAACAAAAGGCACCACGTAGAGACTACAAATTCCTTCATTGTTATTGTTATCATGTTAATTGTGGACTGTTATCTATCCTGTACCCACCTATGTAAAAGAAGCATGGTGTCTATCATTTCATTTTTTATCCAATCCTAGAGGTTTCCCGGCTTTGCTTTCCCTCACTAATCTATCACCAATAGATTTCCTGTAACCCATTTACATCTCTACCTTTGATGGTAAAATAGGTGAAAAACCACCATTCTGAGAGCATTATCTCAATTTGTTGAGCTTCTGCTTCCCAGCAATTGTCAACAATTTGGCTCAAATAAACTCACAAAAATTCTTTACAGATATGAATGTTTTCATACGTCAACAGAGTTCAAATAATTCTATTTCCCCTCTCCTTATGGTGTCCTATAAACATATTCACTATAAAAGAACATTCATAGTTTTCTGTCTCTCTCTCTTCTACTCTCTCTAAAAATCAAAGGAAAGATGTCCTTCCCTCTCCCAGGTATTTTTCTGGGAGGCCACCAAGTTGGTTGCCCTGTTTGAAAAAAAAAAAAAAAAAAAAAAAAAAAATCAATGGAAAAATATCCTCGGGTGAGGATTAAAAAACAAACAAATAACATAGTACTGAAGTTTTCCTCACACTATTTGGTTTTCATGGAGGCCTCACAAAACTTCCCGAGGAATTCTTTGTAAAGAGACCAACATACATACAAAATAGTCTCACAGAAACCCTACGTAAGTAATGTACAAATAGAAGAATTCTACAAAGCGATATTAACATTATTCCTTATTTCTACAGTATGAAATAATTGTAGAAATAGTATTACCACCACTCCAGATCCAAACAAAGCAAATCAGCATTAAGTCCAACTTCAAAAATTAAGCTGTTTGTACGTTATGCCGAAAGTCTAGAAGATGGTCGGTAAATAGCTCAATTCTTACCAACCGAGTAGTTATTTTACCACATGTCGATTCAAAGGCTTAAAAAACAAACAAAACAACAGCAGCACCAAACAAACAAAAACTCTCCGCTACAATACCACCACAGAAGCGGGAAATGACTGCAGCTCAGAAGTAAAGTCAGGCACCACTGGAAGTGCTGTCCTGCCAGCTGTTAGCAAATGAAAGAAATGCAATAAAAACTGCTTTACTTAGGAGTGGAAGAAAATATTCTCTAAGCAATGTGAATGGAGCCATCAAAGCAAGTAAGACAAAAGGTTACAAATTTGCCCCTTTGCAACAAAAATGTAAAGAATAGAGACATTTAGGTGAAACATTAGATTTTTAAACTAAAACACATTCTAAGTTCCTAAAATATTCACTTGAGAGTAGGCAAAAACAAACAAACAACATAAAAAACAAAAGCACTATTTCTTTAAAAGGCCATGGAATTCTGAAGTTCAATACTAACTATACAGGCTGTTGATTCCAATAAACTATACATCTAAGGAGCCAATCCCTTCTTCAATGCTAAGGGGTAAAATAAGGCAGGGAAGAGCAATATATAATAAGATTTCTACTTAGATTGTTTTCCTCAAGCCATTCTAGGCCTTCCCACCTCCACACTGCCACCTGAAACCCAGACACAGAAGGGAACCACGCAGAGGGACAGAGAAGCCAGCGGATGGTAATCAAGGGCTGTTCCATCAAGTAGCTCTGTCCAATAGATGGACGCTCTGACATCAATTCACATCTTTTCCTTTACCCCAGTCCACCAACTTGGTGGGCAACGTCCAGAGCCCTTCAAAACCCATCTTAAAATTTCTTCATTCACGTTCCTCCTGTAACCTTCGCCCATATTCTATTTAAGTAACCCTGACCCTACCCTGATTTCATCATTTGGAACTCACCTAATAAATAACCTCTTAAATCTTAACTTAAAGCCACAGTCTGACCACAACCCTGACTTCCCAGCGGTGTCATTCTTATCCACACTAATACTGCGCTTCAATTTCACTGCGGGCAGAGTCCAGACACTCAGCCTTCCCTTACTCAAACAGCTTATATTTCTTTTGTTTCTGTGTCCAAGTACACATCCCTTAATGTCTTACTTCTTTCCCTATTTGCTTGGAACATGCTGTATAGTATTAGAAAGTGCTAAATGCTAAGGGGTAAATTAGGGCAGGGAAGAGCAATATGAAGTGGAAGAGTGTGTGAAATTTAGGGAAGATCTCACTGAGAAGGTGATACTTGAATCACCTGAACAGAACAGTAAGCACTGCAAATACCCGGGAGCGAGCTATCCCTGCAAGGAAGCAAAAGCAGAGCCCCTCTAAAGTTAGTGTGCCTGTGGGGTCAAAGGTTTTGCATCATATAGACCACATGCTCTGGTCACAAGACAATCACAGAGGTTAAAAACCAATTAATGACAAAAAAAAAATAACTAGAAAAACGAGAAACATATAAATGTAAATTAGAAATTATTTAGAACCAAATAGTGAAAATACTTTTCAAAACTTACGACATAAAGCAAATACCAAATTTAACTGTCTAAGAACTTAAAACCTCCAAACAAAAATCAAAAGCTGAACATTTAATCTAATCTGTGCTAATGAAATAATGAACCCAGCATCTACAAAGTCTGTTTGCTATTCCTTCCATAGGCAATTACCTAGGACAAAGCAAATGTTTAAATGTTAGTTGTAAATATTTCTCTCTTTGCATGTCCAGCATGGCTAGAGAGCGGTCCAGTTCCTGAGTAGGGGTGGCTGGGGATTGAGTAAGTGAAAGAAAAAGACAGAGTTAGAAGGAAAAAGCTGGGACCGGGTGGGACCACTGCCCTTTTCTGGTGGAGACAATGACCCAGAGTACAGGAAGCCCAATGCCTTTCAGCTGCTGCACAATCCTCTGCATTGCAATTCAAAATATTTAAAGTATAAGGAGCATGACTAAGTTTGTTTTGAGGTGACACATAGCATGTCTCCCCCTTTTTGTTCTAGTAATTGCATTTTAAGAATATGATTGGGCTGAAACTGGTTTGGCTCAGTGGATAGAGCGTTGACCTGCGGACTGAAAGGTCCTAGGTTTGATTCCGGTCAAGGGCATGTACCTTGGTTGCGGACACATCCCCAGTGGGGGGTGTGCTAGAGGCAGCAGATAGATGTTTCTAACTATTCCTCTCTATAAAATATCAATAAAATATTTTTTAAAACTTAAAGAGTATGATTGGCTTTTTCCACTACTGAGTGACATCCATTAGCCAGATTTGATTAGGTTTAAGTCCTTGGGGATTTACCCCTAATGCTGGCACAGGGAGGTGGATCACACACTGGGGTATTGCTTCACACTTGGTGAGCCTGCTCTGGGAAATACGGAGCTCCTTGCGCAAGGCAGAGGCGTTCTGATGATGTGGGGCATGCGAGGCCTGTGCCATGGACTATGGTGTGGCCTCCTCTACTGAGGCAACAAGGCGATCTGCTTCCTCATTGCCGTCAGCCAGGGATGCGGAAGGCCAGCATGGGATCTAATATGGCCAATAAAACAAGGAAATTGTCTTTCTCAAATAGCGTTTTGAAGGCTGAAAAGTAAATGAAAGAGTTCCTCTAAATTAGTGTGCCCTGTAGTAGCCATTTCAATAATTTTGGCCATACTTACCACATGGACACTGTCACTATCAGTTGATGGACTCCATAGCAAAATCTGTCAAGGCATAAATAAGAGCTTGTGTTTCTACCATTGTGCTGAAATATAAGGGGTTTGAAGGACCTTTGCTCCCCTGCTGCAGTAGATCCAGCCTTTCCAGAACTGAATCCACCTGTAAAAATGGTTAA